CGGCTTCGGGCTGCCGGACGTGATCCGTGCATCGGCATCTAGGATCCGATGTCCGGCGGCTCTTAAAGCAGTGTTTTAAAGTAAGAACAGTGATCCTGCAAGTGAACTGGGCCTTCAGAGAAGTGCTTTATACATGAAATTCACTGTATCAACTGTTTTATAGTCAATTTGGACCGTATTTATGGTACCCGGGCGCAACCCGCGGGTTCCGGGTTTGGCAAATCATCAACCCGCGACCCGTACCCGGTCGACCCGACCCGGAAACCCGCCGGGTTGACCCGAACCCGTGCCCAACCCTAAGCGCACCTTGCAGTCATGCACATTGCAGCAAGGATGCCCCAAGGTGACACCGTCAGCGACTCCCACTGAGATATAATCTGAAAGAGAGTAGTAGTAAGCCTTTGATCGATACAACAGCGATTCAACTGACATATCAACCCCTCGGGAGTAATCCACTTCCTCATGCAGCCATCGCAAGCATGGGGCCACATTTCTTGACCGGTTCCTGCCATGAAGTAGTTGCGTTCATCCATTGCTCGGATAAAACGGACTTTCTGCAAGCCACCATGAGGAAGAACCAGTGATTGCTGCCTCAAATTCTTGTGACGTAGGAGGGCATGTAAGAAGAATGCGTCGAGAACAAGTACTTCAGAAAGCTCATGAGACAGGCGTGATGAATTTGGGATCACGGTTGTTGGCGGGGAGAGGGCCATATTATATATTCTCGCAATGCTCTGAGCCGAACAACTGAGCGCAAGGCAGTCAGACTTTTGACAAATAAAGATGCAACACACTTACTGCGCTAGGGCCATCTCAGCCTCGAAAAATCGACAGAGATCACCCTCCACAAAAGAATGTTCGAAGACGTGGAGGATGTTTGACTGTTCAGTGTAATATGTTCTTTCTGCACTTTCCAAAGCAGCATTTTGGACGCTATAATTGTGGTAGTAGCGTGTAAGACACTCTAGAGACTTGTCAGTGAAGTTCGATGCGAAATTTTCGATACTCACTTCGACAATAGGTGGAATGCGAGAGGACTGGGAGAACACCGCGATGCAGAGTATAAAGTCGCGATTCATACTCTCTCGGATCTGTCAGAAGTGTGTTCGCGCACTCAGTGCGAGGACAATGCTTATGTGGTGGATGGATGGGAACGGCTCCTTTTATGGGGAGCATAGTGTTAGCCGCATTATTGATGCAACACGCCATATCTCACCTAGCTTATTTTCGAGGCCATGCAAGCGAAACAGGTCATCATCGGCGACATTGATTTCGAGCTCCAGTCTCTCGATTATGTCGTGAAATGCAATCCAGCACAGTTGAACATGGCTGTAATCCAGCTGCAGGACAGCAGCCAAAAATTGACCAATATGTTGTGGCAGTAATTCAGGTAGTTGATCGTTTTTGCGATCGAGAAGGATTTCCGCCCAGATACGTTTGGTGATCCTGATGAAGCGCTGAAGCTGAACCCACTTGAGATTGTCGGACAGAGTTGGGTGTTGGATAAGCCGCTCTAGTACTTCACGAGAAACGACCTCCATGGCGGAACAGGGGAGCAAGAGAGAGCGAACAGATTATCGCAGGATCTAGATAGTTGGACGGCCAAATGGGTCGAACTTGGTTTTTCGTGTGCGCACTGGATTCGGTATTTTCGTGAGATTTGGCTTCATAGAAGGGTTTTGGTTAGCTGTCAGAGTCGTTATGAAAGTAATTTGTATTATCAGAGTGCCCGGACAGACCGAAATAATTCGGCTAAAATCGACGGTGTCAGCCTTTACCATCACAAATTGATGGTAAAGGCTGACACCGTCGATTTTAGAGTGGCAGTGCTCCGAACCACATCGGAGATGGCCGAGGCTTGAAACCTACAAAAGGTTTTTCGTCTCAAGTCCCAGGAGATTTTGGGGATGCTTAAGACTTATGACATTCTGCAGACCTTGAGACATGGTTATTCATGTGCCTTAAGACATTGACTATTTGAAGTGCCTTAAGGCTGAAGGAATTCGGCGCCTTAAGGCATGTCCGGGGCGTCCGCCGGATCCGCCGGAAATCCCCCGTGACGCTGACGCTCATCAGAGCTTGAGAACGGCTGAGACGGAATCAACCGAGGAATCAACCGAGGATTGCTAACTTAACCTCGGCTTTTCGACATCAGGTCTAGATTGAGCTTCAGAACTAGACCACTCACAAGTTTTTTCTCTCCCTTTCATTCTAGCTGTCGGAACTCTTGTATGATGCTTTACCCTTTCTCCAGACTGACCACCATAAATTTCCTCGCCAAGACTCAGACACAAGCTTTCAGATCTTGTCAGGGTGGTCGTCGGTAGTCAAGAGGCTGACACGCGGTCCGGGTGATGACGGTGATAGAACACTTATGTCTCCTGTCAAGACATCTGGCGGCAGCAAAATTTCTCCTTCAGGTCCGGCGATTATCAAATGTCGACGGAGTCGATCATTTGTCTTGGCAGCAGAAACAAGAGGATGCTTAGGGCGAGGACGGAGTCCGGGAGTAGAGCTGAGATGGGTGAGATCCAAGCCATGGTCTTGCAAATGTGCGGTGAAAATTGCGGGATTAGAGAGGACAAGGCAAGAACCCCAGAAAGGCAACCAAGCACCACGTGAATCTGGATCACGATCTAAACAGCAACCGTGAGAACGCCGTGCCTGAAACGTACAAAAGTCGAACCTCGATGACCAAGTTGGTTCATTGTTCTTTTTCTCTCCCTCCGTCTCGTTTCTCTTCCCTCTGCAAGCAGAGTCCTTACAATCTTTAACCCCCCGACGATCTTTATATTCCCATCCGCATTTCACTATGTTGGTTTCTGCCCTATTCACTCTCGTTGCCGCTGGTCTAGCTACCGCGGCTCCCCTCGACCGTCGCGACGTAGCTCTCGACAGTACGGCCACTGCGGAAGCCCAGAAATTCGATGCCACTGCTACCCGCGCCCTCACTGCCACGACAATCACGGTCCGTTCTCGAATCCCGACTATTCAGTGTTTCTAAACTTCTCCAGACTTCCGACGGCAAATGTCTCTCCGTCGACCCCTTCTCCGGCGACTTTCGCGAGAATCTGACGCCTATTAGTGCTGTGACCTGCGATGGCAGCAAGAACCAGACCTGGGATGTTATCACCGCAGGCGTGCACAACAACGTCGAGGGCCAGGCTCTTATCGTCAGCAGCTTGGTACGTTGACTGCTGACATCCTGAATGGACTCTCTAAACCCGTGATTATCAGACCAATGCTTGCTTGAACTTTGACCCTCGCCGGGCAGCTGGTATGTAACCGTCTGCCGCTCTCTCGGGAGATTATTGAACGGCCGCAGGTAACCAGGTTCTGTTGTTCTCTTGCGGCGGGCGCGCGGATGGCGGTACGTACCTGTCTGTGTTGAAGTTTTTCTGGCGGCTAAAATGAGGATGACAGGCGGACAAGTCACCAACTCTCAGCTCTTTGCTTTCTCCGGTGCTACCGGTCCTCAGGCGCTCACCCCTCAGAACGGCAATAACGCTGTCTGCTTGACCGTCAAGGGGAACCTCGTCGACCAGGTTGCGTGCAACGGTGCTGCCTCGGCATCCGGCGCTGAGGTTTGTTTGAATAATCGAAAATGCTCCCTGTCTGACTTAATCGTTCCTAGCTGTTCTCTTTTGGGGGTAAGGCGGCGTCGGGCGGACAGACCACTGCGGCTGCTACGACGGCTGCCGCAACTCAATCTGAGGCCGCCTCGCAAGCCGACTCCGCCTCCACGATCTTCATAACTGTTACCAAAACCTTGACAATCACCGCAACTCCCCAAAGTACCCAAATCGCCGTCGCCGAGAGCTCTTCGCAAGCTCCCGCGGTTACGACTAGTGCAAACGCAGCCACTACCACCGCCGCGAGTGCGACGACGCCCATCAAGGTCTCCGGTGCCGGAGGTATGTCATTCCCATTCATGTGTCCAAACCCACTCTAACCTTCATTGCGCCCCGCAGGTGTCCTCGTCCCCACCGCCGTCGCCGAGTCCCAGGTCAAGGATCTTACCGCCACGCGCGCGGCCACCGGCGCCCAGATCAAGACCTCCGACGGGCAGTGCCTCTCCATTGACGCGACCGCGGGCGACTTCCGCGAGAACCTCATCCCCGTCGCGGTAATTTTTTTTTGAAGCACCTGGATGTTGAGACTGATTGAATGGAACAGGTCAAGGCCTGCGACGGCAGTGACGGCCAAAAGTTCGACTTCATCACCAAGGGTGTCCACAACGACCAGGCCGGCCAGACACTCGTTGTCAGCAGCCTGACGCAGGGGTGCCTGAACTTTGACGACCGCCGCGCCGCGGGCGACCAGGTGGGTTTTACATCTCTGCATCCCCGATGCATCTAACCTCGGTTCTAGGTCAACCTCTTCTCTTGCGGCGGCCGTGCTGACGGAAGTGCGTCCTTTCTCCTCGCTCACTTGTTTATACTCACTTATGCTCCATCCAGCCGGCCAAGTAACCAACTCGCAGCTCTTCCCCTTCGTCGCCGCGGACCTCACCGCGCCCTACGCCCTCACGCCCTCGAACGCCCAGGGCGTGTGCCTCGTCAACAACAACGGCCGTCTCAGCAATGTTGCGTGCGATACGACGAAGCCGAGCGCGACTGAGGTACGCACTCTTTCTCCTTCGTTTGCGGCTCGCTAACGCGCGCGACAGCTCTTCACCATCGTCGCTTGATCGTACTCTCAGTGTGGTCTTCTTTTTCTTTCGGAGGGGCACCCGAGTGGTGCTCCCTGGTGTTTTGTAGTCTGTATTTTGGGCTTGGACGGCGCGTGCGCTGCAGGGAAACAATCAATTGGATGGATCGAAAAACATATTGATCTGGTGTGAAGTGTGAGAGGCAAATCCATTTTCTTGGACGTTCTCCGACCGCCGTGTACATCTTGGCAGTGTGCTTGTCCGTTAGAAGTTTTTTGTTCACTAGGAGGACTCCTGTGCTCTTTTGAATCTCCCAAGTAAATTTCGATAACGGAACGTGACAAAAGAACTCTCGACCTGGGAGTCGAACCCAGCTTTCGCGCGGACACGTTACACATTGATCCGTTCATGACAAGCGCGTGTACTAACCGATATACTAGTCAAGACGTGTGAGATGCTCTCTTTTTGCGCATCCTGACATACTGCGGACCGTGCACAGAAATTTCCAAGGTGATAATTCGCTCATCGTCGCCCAGGCTGACATTGATTTTTCTCGAGACTCGTGAGGCGATCATGGGAGCTCGACGTGAGTAAGCTGGGCAGCACAGCTCTGACCCAAGCGTAAGCTGCTGGCGAGTCACATCTAATTCTCTTTAAGTCCTCTTTATTATACGATGACTATCTCCTCCCTTCCCTGGAGGCAAACCAAGCACCTGAAGAACAAGAACCCAATTCAAGGTGTTTCAAGTTCAAAAAATCAAAATACGGCTTCAAGAACCTGCTCCTCGTTAGCGCCTCGAGTTCGAGCTTCCAAACTTCAGTGGGACACTGCGAGTTTTACGAGTCTCAGGAGGGTTCAAGTTAGTCCTCAAGACCTTTAGGCTTCCAGACCTCGGTGGGGAACCACTCAAGACGTTTGAGGACTCAAAATCCTCCAAACTCCCAAGATCTCAGTCAGTCCGCCTGGGGTTCGATTGATGGTGAATTGTTTGTCTCCTTTCCTGGACTTTGGCTCAGGACCCCGGATCCCTGGGGTTAGTACACACAAATTTGGCTTGAACCGCCTGTTGTGTGTATAAACTAAACGCACGTTGAGGGAGGGTTGTTCCCTGCCTTCTTCTTTCAGCCTTGCCCATCCGCGTACAGATTCACAGTGTCGCAGAGCAGCACCCTTCCCCAGCACGCTCGCAAAGACTTAGTATACCCAGAAGATATTCCGAATCCCGGATGTTGTCTTGTACGTCTGTTGCCTAGGGCGGTACGGTAGACCGTACAGGGCGATCCAAGACGACAGAGTCGTCTGTATCCTTTGATTTTTGACAGTCCGACTAGGTGAAAGGACGAAATTGGATATTCTATATTGCCAGTTGGCTACTGCAGTCTGCTAGCCAGTCTGCCGGCGGTTACTAACAGTATCTTGTCCAAATCTCGGTGTTCGTTCTTTTTTGTTTCTCCTTTGCGAGTCGCGACGCGCGTCTTAGCCGGAGAGTGGGTGTTTCTGTATGTCACTCAAGTCCACAGAATTGCAAGCCTCGGAGGCGGTTCCGGGCGGCGAGGACGCGTCAGTCATGGTGAATCGGGAGCAGAGAGAAAGGTCAGCAAAGTTGATCAGACTGCCAAATGCGGCCACTTACAAACACTTTGCCGACTAACCGCTTACAAGAAATCCAACGCAGACACTGAGATGATTCATCCTCGATTCATGTCTCGCAAAGCCGCTATCGAACAGGACTTGTATAAAGGAGCGACTTCGGAGGAGCTTGAAACCTTCACTTCCCCTCCATTCACCAAACTCCGCACACGAACATGGTGCAAGATCTAATCCGCGACTCGACCATCGGCCAGCTTGTAAACTATGTCTCTAGGGGTCGTGTACTACCCTACCCCGAGCAGCGACCCGGCTATGTTGTGCCCAAGCACTTCCTTCTTCCCACTTCTGAGCGGCAGAATTCCGACGTAGTGGCATCCGATGCCGCGACACTCTGCGGGGACTGTGATAAAACCTCCAAGATCTCATCTCCCCCCGACACGGAGATAAAGCGCGAATCAACCTTGGTCGCCGACGTCGAATCCCAGAAGCAGGTCGACGATTCTACCACCGTTCCGGATCCCTATCTCGTTGGATGGAACGGCGACTCGGATCCTGAAAATCCTCAGTAAGTTTCATTCTTTTGCAGCACGGGCGGCTGGACTCACGGGCGCGTAGGAATTGGTCTTTCCGGAAACGCGCTTTCGTCGCATTTGAAATCTCCTTCCTCACATTCAGCATTTACATCGGGTCGGCGATATATACGTCGTCCATCCCGGGATTAATGACCGAGTTCAACGTTTCGTTGACCACAGCTACTCTCGGTCTGACGCTTTATGTTCTCGGTAAGTCTCCTCTCCTCGCGTCCAACCTCTTGTACTCATCTTCGCAACAGCTTATGGCATTGGGCCCATGTTTCTGTCCCCCCTCCAAGAGCTCCCATTCCTTGGCCGCAATCCGGTCTACATGGCGACTCTTTTCCTCTTCGTCGTTTTCCAAATCCCCATTGTGACCGCGACGAACATGAACACGGTCCTTGCCATGCGATTCATGACGGGCTTCTTCGGCAGCCCCGCACTAGCCACTGGGGTGTGTATTTTCATTTTTCACATTCCTACATGCAGCTGACATCGCTCCAGGGAGCCTCCATGGCTGATATCTTCCCGCAAAAGCAATTCGCATACGTCCTCGGAATCTGGGCCCTCGGCGCCGTCGCGGGACCCATAACAGGCCCGGTTATCGGCGGGTTCGCAGCGCAGGCGGAGTCCTGGAGGTGGCCCATGATGGAGCTCCTCTGGATCACCTCCTTCGCTGTTGTGTTCCTGTCACTCCTCTTGCCCGAGACATACGGGCCGACCATCCTCCTTCGGCGCGCTGAACGCCTGAGGAAGCTCACGGGCAATCCCGAGCTGCGGACGGCAGAGGAGCGCGACGAGGATTCGAAGAGCGCCTGGGGTATCATGTACGAATCCCTCGTGCGGCCTTTCGTGCTGGCCAAGGAGCCCGCTCTCGCCTTTGCCAACATCTACCTTGGCTTTGTTTGTGCGTTGATTTCCTGCTTAGTGCTCTCTCCTATGCTGACCATACTCTAGACGCCATCTTCTACCTTTGGTTTGAGGCCTTCCCCCTCGTCTTCATCGACATCTACCACTTCAACCAAGGCGTCAGCGGCCTGCCCTTCCTGGCGTTCATCGTCTCGGGTGGTATCACCTACACCGTCTACTGCATCTACCAGAAGTACCACATCGCCCCCCGGTACGCACGCGCCGCCGCCGCCCACACCGAAGTCGCGCCCGAGATCCGCCTCGAAATCGGGCTCATGGCGAGCATCTTCATCCCCACGAGCGTCCTCATCTTCGGCTTCTCCTCCAAGCCGAGCGTGCACTGGATCGTCCCCGTCATCGGCGCCGCGCTCTACCTGCCCGGCATCTTCCTCAACTTCCAGAGCATCCTCATGTACGTCACGTCCGCGTACCCGGCGTACGCCGCGTCGGTGCTCGCGGGGAACGACCTCTTCCGCTCCACCATCGCGAGCGTGTTCCCGCTGTTTGGGCGCACGTTCTTCACGAATCTGGGGCTGGGGCCGGGCTCGGCGCTGCTTGCGGGGATCTCGTTCCTGCTTATGCCTGTGTTTTGGTTGTTGCTCAAGTACGGGCACGTCCTGCGCCAGCGGTCGAAGTACGCACACAGCCCGTAGTGAGACGAGGGCAGCCGTCTGAAATCACCTACGCGCTTTCGGTGCTCACCGAAGTCTTTGCCATCGGGTCCGGTCTCCGCCCCGTCGGCGTCATATTTAGGGCTCGCAAGTGTTGCTCACCCTACAGACAACGTACATGTAACATTGTATTTCCAGTGAAATTGTAGCACAATATAATCTCTTCGCAAGACAGCGTTGCTCAATAACACATTGCATTCAAGTAGAGGCGATTTCTACAGCTAGCAGTAGGAACAAGAAGTAGAGAAAGGCTTGTGGTGTTTACGGAACATTACTTACTCGTATTCGAAATCCTCCGATTCCATCGAGCTGCATCTGGCAGTAATGTAAAGATTGCGAAAGTCCTTCCCCCCTGCACTGGCTCTGGCCCACTCCGCGTTGAGACGCTCAATCTCGCTCCAGAAAAATTGCTCCGGCGTCATGTTCTCATGCTCGAGCTTCTGGTCCGCCGCGTCATTCCATTCGCCTAGGCCGTCTACGAGAGTGGGAGACAGGATGTTGACAGGGTGCACGGTCCAGATGGGTGTCGTATGGGCGCCTTCCCAGTCTATGACAGCGGCGATTACTGTGGGGTCGGTCGGGGAAACGAGGACGTTTCTAGGGCATAGATCGACGTGCAGAAGAACCAGTGTGGAGACGAGATTCTCGTCCATCGGCGAGGTAGGACAAGAAGAGAGGAGCGGAGAGGTCTCAATTTGTCGAATGGCAGCGGCCATAAGCTCCAGTTGACGAGGGGATTTAGGGTGTTTGAATCGGACATCGTGTCTCGCCACGGCTACCAACCAATCGCGCACAGTGGCCAACGGCCCGCATTTGTCGTAGACGGGATTTTCGATACCGACTGACGCCGCTTGGCAATTGGGAACCACGATAGGTCCGATGGAGATCTGGTCCTTGGAATCGATGTGAAGACTGCCGATAGTATCGAACCGGAGCGACAAGAGTTGGTGCCATATTTGAGCCAGGGCGGTGCAGGCCGCCTTTCTTTGCAGAGACGACATCTCGGGCCAGTACTGGCTCAATGAGGGATGCGGAATCTGCTGGTCGTTTGAACGTTTGTTCACAAGAACAAATCCAACGCACGTATTCTAGCACCATCCAGGAACCACCGACTTCCCCAGCAAGATCGTCGTCATACAGATATACCTCGGGAACAGGGATTGACGTGTACTTCTTCACGTAGCGCATCGTGGCCACCTGGATGGAGAGTTGGACCGAACGTTCAACTGTGGTATCAGGACGTACTACCTCAGAATTCGTACGCCAAGGAGCCGTGCGGCCCCTCCGGACAGAGCCCGCCAGAAAGGGGAAATTCACGCGAGCCACCCAGTCTTTTCCGAAACCGAACCGCAGAACACAGACCTGTCGAGAGCCCAATGGCAAATCAGAGAGTTTCGTTTATTTGTTGTTTCAAATCGTACAAAATGGTGGGACTCTGGAAGGCGATTTAGCAGCGTTCTCCTTCGGTGCGACGGGGATACGCGCCGCATGATAATACCTCGACTTGAGGCGTCGTTACGGGAATCGGAAAATGGGAATGGATTCGAGCCACAATGGGTGCAATATTAGGATACGGCCATCCGGCTTCTTCCAGTTCGGGGAACGGAAAGAGCATCGTAAGTGTGCATATACATAGGACAGAGCAAGAAGAGCGAGAGAGGTTGGGGAGACTCGAGAGGTGAAGTCAAGAGAGAGATTCGCGG